TATAGTACACTTGATGTATATTTTTTTTACATAATATTAAATATCGAAGTAGAGAGGCCATATAAACGGAATTTTAGCTTCATCATTATCTAGAAGCTATTTATTTTTCTTAAGACAATTGTACCAAAATTTGATCGAAGTTACTATTTCATAGTCCAATGAAGTTGAGATGAATTTTCATATATTGGACAATGAAGTAGTGACCCCTCTATCACAAGACTGGTGTTATAAAGCTTTTTTAATCGAAATCGAGGCACGCAATTGTTATTTATTCTTTGTAGCGGATGCTAAGTTAGAAGTGTAAAGATGAATCAGTCCCGATAGTCCAATCAGTAACCCTCCTCAATAAAAGAACAATGAGACAACATGCTTGGAAAACCCATGCTTTCATTAAATTGTATTCCCTATATATCAAAATAAATTAACATAATATATTATCCGCCCAATGAAAATAAATTTTGAGATCGATATATATTAAAAGTAGAAACAAGAATTATGAAGATTTAAATAAAGCTTGATAGCTCTCGCTAACACCACTATCCGTTGATTATAAGTGACAACAATATAGAATGTCATAGTATTGTCCTTCGACATTTATATGCTTTGATTTATATTCTATTTTGTCAATCTTCCAATACAAATGAATTTAATTAGGCAAAAATACCATGTTCCTATTTCATCATCAATAACTTATGTTCTATATGATAGAATCAAAGATTAGTTTCATAACTTTATGAAGATAATGGGAATTGTTAGGTCTTGAGTGGAACTTAGGCTAAATCATATTAGAATGAGCATCTTATAATATTTATACAAGGATTATTAAATTGTGGTAAGAATGTAACGAGGGAACAAACTTTATCCTCTTTATCTGAATAAAGGGGCAAATCTTAATGATTAAAAAGTCACAAGCATTCTTTAGAAGTATGGACACCTTTAACTTATTTCATGCAACTTCCCTTAATTATTTTGGCTTCCAATAATTATCTTTTTTGTAATTTTTTTTATGATTTAATATATTGGATCGATTTTTACACATATTGAAATGAAGAAAATGGTATTATGTGTGGGAGGAAAGAATTTTATTACATGATGGAATGATAATAGGGTGGGAATGCATTGAGGATGTCAATTCAAATCTTGTGATTTTTATTCATTTATTTATCTATTTTAATTTTATAATAAAAATGGTGTGATTTTGATTTTGATTTTTTTTTTGTTTGTATAAATATAAACGAGGTGGGGACAACGGTTCTCGTCCCTACCCCGATTGGACCTAAATAAGGGAGGAATCCCACTCTAGTCGGGAAGGGTTCCCCAGGGACTTTTGCCATGGTGTTTGGCATATTGAGTTGTTTGAGATACATATAGTGGTCAATTTTCCGATGCATTATGTTCAAAATACTAATGAAAGAAACGAAGTATCAATTGAAACATAACATGACCTATTTTTTTGTAATTTTTTCTGACTTTTGGTGTCCTTTCTCATCCTGTTTTCAGAAAAAAGCTCCTTTTTAGTCATTTCTTTTGTGCAATGTTTTATTTTTAACTCGTTATTATTTTGTTGATTATATATTAAATAAAGAGTTATTTTTGGAAAGTGTTAATGTATTTAATTCATTTTATACCTATATGCCCCGTTTACTTTGTAGCATGATGATACTGTAGGAATTGGTTCAAATAATTAACCAAAAATTGGAAAATAAAAACGTGTGTAAAAGTGGAAAATGAAAAGGTGTGACTACGTGTCAATTTCGATCAAATATTCAGAGTTGATCTGATGGTCAAATTACAAAAGTAAATAGACCAACTTATTCTACTCATCGAGTAGATCGTCGTGGTATATTTGGAATCTCGAAA